TACATATATATACATACACACACATATATACATATATATATATACACACACACACACATACATATACATACATATACATACACACACACACACGCTCACCCACTTGCCTAGTTTCCAACAGACCTCTCAACCTGTGAGGATGCCTGCCATTGATGTGGGCGAAATGTCAGGAGAGAATGCTTCTGGGAGCCCCCCCCCTTTGCAGCCATGGGAATGGGCCCCTTGGGCCTGGCCTTGGGAGGAACCCGCTGGGCTATAAATGACACCAATCAATAACAATAAGTAAGTGCCTCCTCCTCCTCTCTTCTCTCCGGCATCTGCCTCTCGGCCTCCCTCCCACGGGCGCTCTTCCCGTCTTCTGGAGGATCCCACTCCAGAAGCAGGCTCACTCGGAGGAACACTCCCCCCTCCGCCCCTTCTTCGGCAGGAAGGGCCCCTCCACCCCTCTGGCCCCACTTGGGCCCCTGCCGGACCCAGGGATGTGCAGTTGGGGCCAAAGAGCTTGGAGAACTACGACTCCCGGGCATCCCAGAGCATTGAGCCAGACCCAGTACCGCCTGGATCCAAACTCTCCAGAGCGAAGGCACGCCTTCATAACCGGGACCAGGACCGCCCTCCCTTTGCATTGCTCTAGATCCAGGCCCCAAGCCCACCACTTACTTCCCTTTGGAGTTGAGCCGGGTTCTGGTCCCACCCCACATGTGCATTGGTCTCGATTTGGGTTCTGATCCCATCCTTCATTTGCATTGCTCTAGATCCATGTTTCTGACCCTCTATTTGCATTGCTCTAGATCTGGGTTCCAATCCCATCCTTCATTTGCATGGGTCTAGATTTGGGTTCCAGTCCCACCATTTATTTGTGTTGGTCTAGATCTGCCTTCCTATCCCATCTTTCATGTGCATTGGTTCAGATTTGGGATCTGATCCCACCATTAGTTTGCATTGCTCTAGATCCAGGTCACAATCCCATTCTTGCATTGGTTTAGATCTGGGTTCCGATCCCACCCTTCATTTGCATTAGTCTAGATCTACGTTTCTGTCCGTCCCTCTATTTGCATTAGTCTAGATTTGGATTCCAATCCCACCATTAATTTGCATTGGTCTAGATCAGTGGTTCTCAACCTGGGGGTTCCCAGGTGTTTTGGCCTACAACTCCCAGAAATCCCAGCCAGTTTACCAGCTGTTAAGTGGTAACATCTGGGGACCCACAGGTTGAGAACCAATGGTCAAGATTATAGGTCACAATTCAATTCTTGCATTTGTTTAGTTCTGCTTTCTGATCCCACCCTTCATTTGCATTGATCTAGATCTGGGTTCCAATCCCAGATCCTTCATTGGCACTGGTGTAGATCTGCATTCCAATCCCACCTTTAATTTGCATGGGTCTAGATCTGTATTCCAATACATTAATTTCCATTGGTCTAGATATGGGTTCCAATCCCATCCTTCATTTGCATTGGTGTGGATCTGGGTTCCGATTCCACCATTAATTTGCATTGGTCTACATCCAGGTCACAAACCCAGTCTTGCATTGGTCTAGATCTGGGTCCTGGTCCCATCCTTCATTTGCATTGATCTAGGTCCGGGTTCTGATCCCACCCTTCATTTGCATTGATCAAGATCTGGGTTCCGATCCCATCCTTCATTGGCACTGGTGTAGATCTGCATTCCAATCCCACTTTTAATTGCATGGGTCTAGATCTGTATTCCAATACATTTATTTCCATTGGTCTGGATCTGGGTTCCGATCCCATCCTTCATTTGCATTGGTGTAGATCTGTGTTCCAATTCCACAATTAATTTGCATTGGTCTAGATCCAGGTCACAAACCCAGTCTTGCATTGGTTTAGATCTGAATCCTGATCCCACCCTTCATTTGCATTGATCTAGGGTTCCAATCCTGCCCTCCTTTTGCATTGGTGTAGATCTGGGTTCCGGTCCCACCATTAATTTGCATGGGTCTACATCCAGGTCACAATCCCTTTCTTCATTTTCATTGGTTAAGATCTGCATTCCGATCCCCCTTTTAATTTGCATGGATCTAGATCTGTATTCCAATACATTAATTTCCATTGGTCTAGATCTGGGTTCTGATCCCATCCTTCGTTCGCATTGGTCTAGATCTGGGTTCCGATTCCACCATTAATTTGCATTGGTCTAGATCCAGGTCACAATCCCAGTCTTGCATTGGTCTAGATCTGGGTCCTGGTCCCACCCTTCATTTGCATTGATCTAGATCTGGGTTCTGACCCCATCCTTCATTTGCATTGATCTAGGGTTCCAATCCTGCCCTCATTTTGCATTGGTGGAAATCTGGGTTCCAGTCCCACCATTAATTTGCATGGGTCTACATCCAGGTCACGATCCCTTTCTTCATTTGCATTGCTCTAGATCTGTGTTCTGATCCCACTTTTAATGTGCATGGGTCTCGATCTGGGTTCCGGTCCCATCCTTCCTTTGCATGGGTCTAGCTCTGGCCCATGGTCCGGTCCGGCTGTGACAGGGAAAGGCAGCCCGGGCCCGTCTTTTTCCTAAAGGACGTCCAAAGCGCAGGCGTCCTCCTCCCAAAAGAGGCCCTTTCCTTCCTTCTCTCAAGGTGAGCGGGGGGGGGGGGGGGGGGGGTTCCGCCTGGCCTTTCCTTTCCTTTCCTCCCAGCGTAAAAATACCCTTCCCGGCCTTCCCGCTGCTGCTGCTGCTTGGCCAGAGATAACAGATCCCAAGGGGCACTTGGCACATGCTCAGAGGCATCTGATCTATTATTAGCATTATAGTACTATTATACTATAGATTATTGATACACATATACACACACAGATAGATAGATAGATAGACAGACAGACAGACAGACAGGCCAAGGTCCCCAGGTTACAAACACCCGACTAACAGACAACTCCTAGTTAAGAACAGTGGGGCAGAAGCCACAGGAAGGGAGAGGAATCGTCCCCACAGGCGTGTTGACCCTTCCCTGGACACGCCAAAGCTTAGATAGATAGATAGAGAGAGAGAGAGAGATACATAGATAGATAGATACATAGAAACATACATAGATGGAGTTACACTTACAAAATGTACCCGCTCCTTGTGTTGTCAGAAGCTGGAATCACTGGGTTGCGGTGAGTTTTCCGGGCTATGTAGCCAATGTCTTCCAGCAGCATTCTCTCCTGACATTTCACCTACATCTGTAGCTCATGACATCTTCAGAGGTCTGTTGGCGGTGAGGCAAGTGAAGTGTGTGTGTGTGTGTGTGTGTATATATATACATACATACACACCTGTGGAATAATGTCCAGGTGAGGGTGCCTGCATGGAGGTGGCCTGGCTGTTGTTGCCTGGAGGCACCCTCTGTGGAAGGATGTCCAGGATGGGAGGAAGAACCCTGGTCTGTTTGAAGCCAGTTAGCAAGCTTGAATGGTAACGAAGCTACAAAGTCAATCAGTGATGGTGTTTGCATTGAGATAACCTGGCTGTTGTTGCCTGGAGGCACCCTCAGTGGAAGGATGTCCAGGATGGGAGGAAGGACCCTTCTCTTTGTGAAGCCAGTGTGGATGTTCCAGTTAGCAAGCTTGAATGGTAATGAAGCCGCAAAGTCAATCAGTGAGGGTGTCTGCATGGAGGTAGCCTGACCCCTGTTGCCTGGAGGCACCCTCTGTGGAATAATGTCCAGGGTGGGATGAAGCATCCTCTGTTTGAAGCTAGTGTGGATGTTGCAGTGAGGAAGCTTGAATGGTAATGAAGCTGCGAAGTCAATCAGTGAGGGTGTCTGCATGGAGGTAACCTGAACCCTGTTGCCTGGAGGCAACCTCTGCGGAATGATGTCCAGGGTGGGAGGAAGGACCCTTCTCTGTGTGAAGCAAGTGTGGATGTTGTAGTGAGCAAGCTTGGATAGCACTGAGTAGCCTTGCAGTTGCAGTGTCAATCAGTGACGGTGTTTGCATTGAGATAGCCTGGCTGTTGTTGCCTGGAGGCGCCCTCTATGGAATAATATCCAGGGCAGGAGGAAGGACCATGGTCTGTTTGAAGCAAGTGTGGATGGTGCAGTTAGCAAGCTTGAATGGTAATGAAGCTGCAAAGTCAATCAGTGAGGGTCTCTCCATGGAGGTAGTAGCCTGACCCCTGTTGCCTGGAGGTACCCTCTGTCACGCAAGTGGAGTGTATATATGTCCAGGGTGGGAAAAAAGAACCCTTCTCTGTTTGAAGCCAGTGTGGATGTTGCAATGAGCAAGCTTCATTAGCATTAAGTAGCCATGCAGTGAGGGTCTCTGCAGAGAGGTTGCCTGGCTGTTGTTGCCTGGAGGCACCCTCTGTGGAATGGCGTCCAGGGCGGGAGGAAGAACCCTGGTCTGTTGGAAGCCAGTGTGGGTGTTGCAATGAGCAAACATGATCAGCATTGAGTTGCTTTGCATGAAGCTGCAAAGTCAATCTGTAAGGCTATCTTGCATAGAAGTTGCCTGGCTGTTGTTGCCTGGAGGCACCCTCTGTTTGGGAAGAAGTGTTTACTGGCTCTTGAGTGCTTGCTGTCTGGAGTTCCCCTGTTTTCTGAGTGTTGTTCCTTATTGACTGTCCTTGTTTTAGAGTTTCCTTTAATCCTGGGCGCCAGATTGTGTGCTCTCTGGGTGAAGGTGAACTACAACTCCCAGAAACAAGGGCCCGCCCTCCCCAAATCCCTCCGGTGTGGTTGTTGGGAGCCTGTGTGCCAAGTCAGGTCCAGACCCATTGCTGGATCTGGACCCAACTTTCTGCTTCTTGAACAAAGTATTCTGCCCCCATCACGAGGCTCAGTCCGCTCCGGGTTGCAGTCCGAACTTTAATGAAATGCTGAAGCTTGAAACCTCTTGAGATGTATTCCTTGGGGAAGAGGAAAAGGAAGCCCATGTTGGTGGTCTCCTTTTGCTTTCCAATTTTTTTTGGGGGGGGGGGCTGGGCTTCCTCTGGGGCGCCCCTCTCTGGCCCAACCCTTGACCGCGCTCCCTTCCTCCTCCTCCTCCTCCGTGTTTTTGCAG